GGGGAGCGGGGCTCCGGGGGCGGGCTCAGCTGTGCTCCGCAGGGCAGGGGTGGGGCGGGGCGCGCGGCTCGGGGCTGGCCGTTGCCCTCGCCCGCGCGACGCCCAACAGGGGTTTCCCAGTGCCGAGTTACCTGATCAGCCTCCACACCCAGCCAGGCCTCCGCTCTCCCTGCCCCGCTCCGGGCGTCTCACTTCACTTCTCAGCTCCCGCCAGCCCGGAGCTCCCCTTGCCCGGATGGGCCCGCACTGGGCTTTTCCAAGTCCTAGGCGAGCCCCGCGGTCCCCGGAGAGCCAAGCCGCCTCTGACCGCGGTGCCAGCGGCACGGCCAGTGGTCCCCAAAACCGAGAGGGCCAGTGTGACCGCCGTCGCATTGGCTTTGTGGTAGCTCCCAGTGAGAGAGGCCACAAGGGACAGCCTGGGGGTATCGTGGACATCGTTCGGGCCGAGAATCAGAGACCCAAATTCGAGTCTCAGTTTACCGCTAACCTATTTCTCCAATTTACTTACTCTCTCTCTCTCTGAGCCTCAGTTTACTGTCTGTAAAATGAGGAGTTGGGACTGTGTTCTAAGGGTCTTTTCATCAGTGGATTTCTGAGATTCTAATATCTGTTCCCGCTCCTGGAACACTTAATAAGAGAAGTAAAGTATTCCAGAGATGCCACGGACTGGGAGGGTGCCCTGATGAAATCTGTGGGCTTCAGCCCTGCGTTGGATCTGGGAATCTGAAAAGACTGGGACATCAACGTGCCCCGGGAGTGAAGGGAGTGGCGCTTGTGATTTACCACAGCACTGTAGCCAATGTCTCAGAGCACTGAGGGACAGACCATGCAGATGCTGAGGGACATAGAGACTGCAACGCTGGTTGGGACACTGGTTGAGGGCTCCTCGAGGAAGGAACGGGGCAAAAGGAGGGAAAGGGCATTGCTTCTACTAGAAATCGGCACGGTAAAAGGGAACAGAGGTGTTTGGCAAGACCTGGGAGTCATTCCAGAATTCTCACTCCCTCACCTCATCCATCATTAATAATGACTACAAGAATCTGAGATAATCTATACACTACCCCTAGTAAGGCATTGTCACAATAAAAGATAGATGATGTTATTAAATAATAGCAGCTAACATTTATTGAAAGCTATACTGGGGCATTAATTTCACACTTCTATGAATGACTATCAGCATTTATATTTTTTTACGGTTGAAGAAACTGTGTAGCTAGGTTGGATGAAGTGTTTTCCACTCACAGAGATAGTAAGAAATGGAGACAGACAACCACCAAGTCAGGGTTCCCTATGACATATCTGACACAATTTTCAGTTAAAATAAGTGTACAAGACAACACTCTCACATCTGAATTATGACTCTGGATGGATGGATGGATAAATACAACAGAAAGCCCAAACAAATTAAACTCCTATGTCTGTATATCTCCAGGGTGGGCAAAGCTCTTCCTCTGAGTGCTCTCTATCATGTCGCTCCACCCTATGGGATCAAGAGTGCCTTTGCTGTGTTCTCCATCCTGGAGAACTATGATCTCTATAGATCTAGCATCCAGTACTGTGTCTTTTCCATAATAATAAGGACGATGATGATTCCTATTTACTCTCAGCTCACTCTGTACCTAGAACTGTGTACTAAGGGCTTTACAATGTGATCTACTTTTATCCTCAGAATTAACCCTCTGAAAGGGGTAATATTGTTAAGCCCCATCTTCCACAAGAAAAACAAAAACTTAGAGAGTTGAAGCATCTTGTTCAAGAGGGCAAAGCTAATAGGTGGTAAGGCAGGGACTCTAGTGTCGGCTTGCCCACACACCTGACCAGAGGGGAGGCCTGGAGACCATCGCTCTGACTTATTGGACCTGTGGCTAGGTGTGAAAATTTGTACTGAGATTGATTCCCTCTCCTAAGAATTTGAGCTGGAAATACACAAAGACAATTAGGCCCTTAATATCAAGGCATGTAGCTGCAAGAATGATGCAAGGTAGATCCAGCTATGAAGTTTCATGGCCTGAAATTATGAAACAAAACTACCTTAAACTACAAACTTTCATTCATATGTGCAAAATTTCCCTTATCATTTTGCTTGAGCTAGTCCAATTAACAAAGAAAGTGGAAAGAATGTAAAGAGAAAATTTTAAACTGGATAGCCAAATATGTATCCAACCATTTCCCAAAGGATCAGCTACCTCCCCCTCCCCCGCAATATTCTCAAATTCCTACAAAATGGAACATGTCTTAAAAGTTAAAACCGTGGGCCTCCAACCTGAATGGCCTTTATTACACGGCAAAACTAGAGAAATAGAACTACTCAAAGGCCTTCCATCTTTGTGGTCTCTGCAGACCAGACAGAAATATTTTAGAAGACAGATTTGGTACCATTCTCAAAGAGGCACAGAGTAGTCAAACTAAAAGCTAAACTGAAAAGTTCAGAATAGAGAGATTTTTGTTTTTTAATTTTACATTTCAGTATATTCGGGGTCTGAGAAAGGACAAAGTAATTCTCATGCTGTATACAATCCAAACAGTATGCTATGCAGTCATTTAAAAAGATTGACAGAATTTTATGTACTGATACAATATCCCAGATATACTTTTAAGTCAAAAAGAAAAGTAAATAGAATAATAGGTCTAGTATGCTAGACCAACTACTTGTGTGTGTGTTTGTTTTTTTTAAAATGGGCACATATATTCATATGTAGCTGGGAAATCTCCAGAAAGGTACAGAGAGGAATGGGGGACAGGGTAAAGGGAAAACTTATTTTTCACTGTATATTAATTACTATGTTCAAATACTTGTTCAAAAAATACTTTCAGAAATATATATCAGGACATTAAGAGGTTATCTCTAGTCATCTTGACAAATAGAAATTTTAACAACGGTCCAATTTATTCCCTCCAAAGTAAATAATTACTAACAATTTACTTCACTTTTCTCCTCTCCTATTTCCAGATGATTCTTCTCTTGCTCACCTTATCAGGCCTGAAATTCCTGCCCAGAGACTCTCACTTTAGGAAAGACTATGCAGCCAAAGTCATAGTTAAGAGCACATACACTGCCTCTCCCATTATCACATTTTTGTGAAGATTTATTTAGCTCATCCAATTGGCTGTTGACTTCAAAAGCACAGTGGCTTTTCATCGGACAGGGGACAGGATGTATAAAGGGCTTTGGGCTTCAGGACCACTGAAGGAGATTAAGATAGTTTGTTCTAGAGAGGCTGGAATGGGAAGCTAGTGCCTTTAATTGAATTGAGGGAGCAGCACTACTGGGAGGTAACTTTCCCAAGAGTAGCCCGTATGGAGGAATACTTGGCATTACTAGTGGAGACTAGACTCCAGCCTTTAGAACAACAGCAAAAGGGTCTCTGAGGCAATACAGTAAGGACCATCACAGGGGCCTCTCGGAGCCAGAGCAGAGCTTCAGAGCTTGGTAGTCAGTGGAGGTGGAGGAGCAGACCTTAGCAGCAGAAGCCAAAGTAACTATAATGAGCACCCCAGAAAAAGACCAGGCCCCTTTCTCCATTTTCTGCATACCATGTAAACACCTAAGTTTTATGACAACTTCGAGGAGTAGACTCCCCAAAACATGGCCAAGATTCAATATTTGGCCAACTCTAGCAAATGAAACTTGGAGTTTGATTTTATTTGGTTTAGAAAACTGGAACTGAAAAGGAACTAATTTGTACTTGCTACATTATAATTGCTGTAGAAGGTAAACTGGATCATTTGATGCTCATGTCTGCCTGGTATCTCTCCTGAGTAGAGCATTCAATGCTCTTCACATCTTGATTTCAGCCTGTCTTTCTAGCTCCATCTCTGTTTTCATCCTTGCTCTCCTTCTCCAGGCCAAACCAAGGATCTTGTGCTCCAGCAACCTAAAAGTGTGCCTCCCAAGCAGATGCTCTCACATCTTTGTTCACACACTCTTCCCTCTGCCTAGAAGGCCTTTCCCCTTTCTACCAGGTGGTATTCTACAAAAAGCCTAACTCCTAAAACCTGTGACACACCCAGGAAGATTTCATCTGTTCTCGGAGTACATTGTTAACCCTTTTGTAACACAGGTGTGTTAAGGGCTATAATGTTTAGTTACCTGTCTCATTAAACAACCAGAGATTCCTTAAAGGCCAGGCGCCTGCCTGATTCATCTCTGTGACCCAGCGCGTAGCCCAGTGTCTTGAGTTATAGATTCATTCCACCTATATCAAATCTAATTTAACTAGTGCTTAATCCAGAATAACCATGCTCTTGCTGTTTTCTCACTAGCCTGGTGTCACTATACACAAAAACATTTCTGGTTTGAAGATGAATCACAGGAAGGCCTGGTTGTCCAACAGTCGATGCCCAGGGCAGAGCCCCAAGGAACAGGCACACCTAGGGATCCTGTCCAGGGCATCCAGGCATCGGGATTTCAGTGATGTATCTGGTGCTGTTTACAACATACATGTTATAGTAAGAATGAGGTTTGGATTAACCATTTCCAATTTTTTTCCACACAAAAATGCATCAGAAAATCAAGCCTTGACACTTAAAGCTGATTTAGGAAACATTTCCTATCTGGATTCTCTTTATTATGACCATTTCTGCTTCTATAACACCTTTCTTCTCTAACCTCCCCCCATTATTCCCCCCCCCGGCCCCCACAAAAGCCCTGGGGACTGTTTCTACTTC